TCATCATTTGTACAAAGGCAACACATTGTCATTACAGAAAATTTTGAATATTTCATAAAAGTAGAAAGGAGATAATATCACCCCTTGTCTCCTCATCCAGTTCTTGCCTTTTTTCTATGCATAGTTTTATTGCCTAATTTCTTGTTTCTCAAATTTTCTTTCTTTTTTTTTTTATAGACAGATACTGTCACCCAGGCTAGAGTGCAATGGCATAATCATAGCTCACTGTAGCCTCCAACTCATGGGCCCAAGCAATCCTCTCCACTCAGCCTTCCCCAATTTTCTTATAAAAAATTTCAAACATACAGAAAAATTAAAAGTCTAGTATAAGGAACACCCACATATCACCATCTGGCGGCAACAGTTATTAAAGTTTTGCTGTATTTGCTTTATGTGTGTGTGTGGCCAGGCGCGGTGGCTTATGCCTATATTCCAGCACTTTGGGAGACTAAGGTAGGAGGATCACTTGAGGCCAAGTGTTCAAGATCAGCCTGAACAACATAGCAAGACCTCATCCCTACAAAAAATAAAATAAAATAAAATATATGTATGTGTGTATCTTTTTCCTGAATCATTTCAAAGTTGCAGACATTGTGAAACTTCACCCTAAATTCTTCAGCATGAGTCTCCTAAAAAAAGGCCATTTTCCTACATAACTATTTTTCATACTTAAGAAAATTAATAATTCCCTAATATTATCTAGCATCCAATTCATATTAAAATCACCCCAATTCTGAGATATAACTTTTAAATATAGCCACACAACAGTTCTTCACATTGTAACTAACTCTCTGACTCTCACCAGAGAAACTAGGCCATTTGAAAAAATATTCAGCAAAGTAGAGAAGAACAATCCCCCTTGTGTCTGTCTTTGGGAATAAACAACATGGCTGACCCTGGGTAGGGGTGATGGGAGAAATGTGAAGAAAACAATTTCAGGGGGAAAGAGTGTTTATGTTCCTCCCACCTTCGAACCAGGTGTACCTGCTCCGCTGCAAGTGGGGATTAGGTTAAGAAGGAAGCACAACTTCATTTTCTTCTTTTAATGGCAACCAATTTCAGACAGCTATGTTGGCCTTAGCCCTCTGGCCTGACATTTGTTCTGGGAGTCATCATTGTCACCCTCAACATCCACTCAAGTAGACAAATATGTGACAAGGATCAATATGGTCCTTGTCACTGCTCCATCCTCTACCTCGCCCCAGCTAGTCACTGCTGGGGTCAGATCCCTGATTCCACTGGTGGCCAGGTAGCCCCTCACGTGACATTTTGCTTTTGTTCTTACTTAAATTGAAATTTTTAATAGGCACAAAGGTACTACATAAGGACCATCCTATTTTTTTCTTATGGCTGCATAATATTCTATGTCACGAATATAGCAAAGTTTTTAATCCCTACTGATGAATATTCAGGTTATTTTTAATTATATGCTATTATGAGCAATAGTGAATAACTTCATACTTAGTATTTTGAACTTAGAATCAGAAAACTAAGTATTTTAGAAAAATAAAATAATTGAACAGAGAGTCTGTCAGAGCTTTGCTCTTTATACAGTAATCTGAGGAGTCAATCAAACCCAATCCTACAGACTGTCAGATCTGGAAGTAACCATAGAGATCATGTGGTCCAAATCCCTTGTTTTAATGAGGGAAATGAGGTCCAGAGAGGTCAGACATGCCCAATATCATGTATTGAGGTGGTAACAGAGCCAGACATGTACCCCAGGCTACTGTATCTGTGAGCCCTATGCCTTTACCTCAGCATACATATCTAAGAATGATGGCCTTTGAGAGTGTGTCTGGGACGCAGTGAGAAAGGGAGGGAAGAAAGGGCCTGGGGCTAGAGGGCCAAGAACACTGGCCCCTCAAGAGGGCACCTGAGAGGGGTCCCTGAGCTAAAGGAGCAACAGTAATACAGGATACAGATTTTAAAAAAACAGTGAAGCAACTTCCTAAGGTGCCAGATGAGTTTTGAGGTAGGGGAAGTAGCCATAAGGGGAACGGAAACCAGAAATTTCTGAGTATCCTAGAAAAGTTTTGTGAAGGAGGCAGGACTTTAGGAGCCATAGAAGTGATGATAAAAATGTTTAATCAAAGACATCTCAAGCCAGAGGCTGCTCCTCTGCAAACTGTGGCCTTGTCTAGGCTCCTTCCCCAAGCCAACTTCTACTGAGACCTTAGGAAGGACCAGTCATCTTTCTTCTAACCCCTCAAAAAGCAGCAAGAGGCTACACTCTCTGCTCCATGGAGCCAACCCCAGGACAGAGCAGGACCCCTCTTCCAGCTCCCCATTCCCTAAACTTGTGCCATGGGGAGATCCTTGTGGAGTGGAAGGCTGAAGACATCAGCAATGTTTGCTTGCCCTCATCATTCAACCTATTGAAATTCTACACACAGAACCTGGGAAGGATTGGGGCCCTGGGACCCTGAGAGCCAAAGGGCCAGCAAACTGGCTGGGATCCCAGGGGAGCTCTTCCTCAGAGGGGCTGGGGCAGGGGTCTCCTCTGATTTCAGATCAGTCCTGACCAGCCCCATTCTCTGGAAGAAAACTTTCAACATGGAAGCATAATTTCCTGAGACAGTACGACTTTGCTGAGGTCTCTCTGAGGGGTCACTCTGGCCCAACCCAAAGTGCAGCATCAGCAGAGTGCTGCTCTGCCAGTGGAGGTGGGGGATGTTGTAGGAGCAAGGGAGGTGGACTTTGTAATAATCTGGGGTCTCTGAGTTCAGGCTGAATAAGACCAGTTGGCCAAAAGCAAAGCAATCATGCTGGCAAAGCCTACTTACCTGCCGCATCCCATCTCAGTTCCTCTCTCCCACCCTCATCCACCTCCCATAACATGCCTTGGTCTTACCGCGCTGTCAATTATTCCTGCAAAGAATTTATGTGGGACCCCTTCACCAAAGTAGCTATTTTTTTTTTTTCTTTGAGTCATGGTCTCACTGTGTGGCCCAGGCTAGAGTGTCGTGGCATCAGCCTAGCTCACAGCAACCTCAAACTCTTGGGCTCAAGCAATCCTTCTGCCTCAGCCTCCTGAGTAGCTGGGATTACAGGCATGCACCACCATGCCTGGCTAATATTTTCTATATATTTTTAGTTGGCCAATTAATTTCTTTCTACTTTGCTCAGGCTGGTTTCAAACTCCTGACTTTGAGCGATCCTCCCGCATTGGCCTCCTAGAGTGCTAGGATTACAGGCATGAGCCACCACCCCCCCGCCTAGTAGCTATGTTTTAATGGAACATTCTGTAAGGCCCAGAGGAATTACTCCAAAGCTATATAAGATATTCTAGGGCAGGTGTGGTGGTTTACCTGTAATCCTAGCACTCTGGGAGGCCAAGGCAGGAGGATTACTTGTGCTCAGGAGTTTTGAGACCAGCCTGAGCAAGAGTGAGACCCCATCTCTACTAAAAATAGAAAAATTATCCAGGTGTTATGGCCTGTAGTCTCAGCTAACTCAGGAGGCTGAGGCAGGAGGATTGCTTAAGTCCAGGAGTTTGAGGTTGCAGTGAGCGATGACGGTGCCACTGCACTCTGCCCAGGGCAACAGAGTGAAACTCTGTCTCAAAAAAAAAAAAAGATATTCTAAACCAGTCTTCCCTCTGGCACCCAATCCTCAAAGCACCCAACATATAGACTACTACCAAGGCCATTTATCTTGTTAAGTCTCAATTTCCCCAGCAATAAAAAGGAGCAGCAAAATCAGGTTATTTTTCAAGTCCCTTCTAACTTTGATGTATGAAGTTTTAGAGTCTTGAGATTCCACAGCCTCCCATTCTGAGAGCACAGAGCTGGCCAGCCCTTGTTAGAAGGCAGCTTGTCTGTGGTTTGGCACCACTGCCCAGCAGGCATTTATTAAATCAATGGGATGTGGTCCCTGCTGGCCTGGAAAGGGAACATTAAGCTCCAAAAACTTCCTGCAGCAGGCCTCCTTCAGAGAGTGCTGCTCAGAGGGGTGAGGAACAAAACCATTCAGGTCCCTGGCTGTGCTCCAAGATCCTGTTCACTAGTACTTTTGCCCTGTCTGCACGGAGAACCAGTGACTAAAAACATCTGGAAGCCTGCTTAAGACCTGGGCGACTTCTCTCGCCTTCCTTTGGGGGTGGCTGTGCTTGACCCTGGTAATTCAGGTGACCTTTGCCAATGCCCCTTCCCTTTCAATCTTCTGCACCTCATTGGGCAACACCCTCTAATAAAATCCACATGAACCCAGCTGCTAACAGCTCCTGGAAGGGCTGTAGGATCTAACACCTGCCCCTGCATTCCTTGAGCCCTAGTAGCAAGGGAAAACAGGGCTGAGACCCAACACTTGCACTTCTGGGTCTTATGGTGGAGTTGTGGAGAAAGGGAGTACATGGGAAGAGAGAAACATTAATGATGAGGCTTTGCTGAAGGTGGGAAGTCAGCTGCAGGCAAGGAATGCACAGGTCTAGTGGCGTGGCCACTGGGTAGCCTAGCAGAGCCCTGTGGGCCTGGGCTTACCTCATTCCCAGTGACCTTAGGGTGGCAAGGCTTATCACTCTGGGAGGCAGGCCTGGGCTGAGGGGGCAGAGTGCATGTGTCACTGACCTGGTGGTCCACCATTGCCCGTCCTTCCTCTCCCTGCTGTGACCTGGGGAGCCCAAAGTTCCTTGGGTCCCTCATTAATTATTTAAGAAAATATTCACTGAGCATCTACAACATATATGCCTAGTGCTGGGGAGAGATACATCAGTAAGTAGAACAGATCCAATTTATGCATTTCAGTCCCACTCACTTGGAAATCCTGACTATAGGTCATAAAGTCTTGGGGATATTCGTAGGGTGGGATGAGAGTGCTTGGAGTTCCAGAGGTAGGAACCCTGGCACTGCTAGGTCTCTCCCATTTTGACTCTATCCCTTAGCTTCTCTAGGGTATAGCGTGTGGACTCAGTATTCCCTCTGGTTAAAGTCGGAGCTCTAAATTCACTCCAGTTTTCTTCTCTCACAAAGGGCAAGAATCCAAGAAATAAGCACAACAGGTTAGAAGGACAGATAAGCTGCTTGACATTTATTTATAAATGTACAGTGATACATTTATTGGGCTTGGCCTTCTTTATTTTTACTCCTCCTTTGCCTTCCTCTCCACCCAGCTAAGATTTTTGCTTGCTCTCATCTGAAAGTCCTGAGCTGATTTCAGTAACCTATCTGCTCTTGGCTGTGATGAGCCAAAGACCAGTACCACCTTCCCTGGAGATGAGGGTGGGTTCATCTCAGAAGGCCCTCAAGGATCCTACCAAAGCAAGTGACTCTGCTGATTCCGGTCAGCTCAGGCCTCTGTAGAGCAGAGAAACTGGTGTCCTTCCTGGAGTGCTGCCTTCATCTCCTTGAACTGAGCCAACTGGCAGGCCTCATCCAGCCCCAGCCAGCGGTAGGCTTGGTGCTCATGGGAGAGGCGGATCTCCACATCGTAGTCCTTCACCTCCGCCAACCAGTAAATGACTGTTTTAGGCTTCTCCCTGGCCACATAATTGAGCTCCCTTCTGAACCCCTCAATGATGGTCAGCTGGCCTGCTCCTATTCCCGCTTCCTCCTGTGTCTCCCTCAGGGCTGTTTCCAAGTCATTCTCTCCTGGTTCCGCATGGCCTGGTTAGGAGAAAAGAGGAAGAGAAGAAGGAGGAAATTTTTAACAGGACTGAAAGCTGGGTTTTCCAGGCTAGATGATTTAAAGATTGGGTCCTTCAGTGAATTTTCTAGGTGTTCCTAGACTAAAGGAAGCCTGGGGATTGGCAATATCCTAACATGCCTAGGAGAGGGTGCAAGGCAGGTAGTATCTGCTTCTCGGGGTCTGAGCAATCCCTTCTTCCCACCTCATCTTGTCTGCAGAGAGTGAAACAGACCATGTGTTTGGCAAGCCAGGTTTAGAATACTACTCTTTGATGGTAAGAGAGATGATCTCCCTCAGACTTCTGCTTTCTTGTCCTTTGGAGTTCTCCTTATCCCATGTTCTCAGGGACCACTTTTCCCTTGGAGAACTAAAAGTGATTTTTCCAAGGAGGGGGAATCCCATTAGCAGGTGGGAGCTAGCTAAAGAGGGAGTACTTCATCTACAATCCAGTGAGGACTTAACACTGTCTACGGTTGGACTCTGAAGTCCCAGGACCAAAAGACAGGCTCAAAACCCCGCACTGCTGCACCAGCAGCTGTTTCCAAGTAGCTATCAAGGCTTTTTCCAAATTGTTTTCATCCTGCTAACTGAGCAAGGCCAGATTTCAGTTTCACAGGGAAAATCCTGATGGGAACTTAGACTAAGGATAAGCTTAGAGCCAGTTCTAAGAAAAAGTGTTGGCAAGACCTGAACCCAAGAAGACAGCTGCCAAGAAACTGTTGCAGAAGAATTTGAAGCTCTGCAGACTGGAGAAGCCCTCAGCTTTACCTCTAGGCCCTTCCCACAATTTCTCAACTTCTCTAGTGGGAAAAAGAAGGACTGGGGACGATCTGGCAGCCTCTGTTTACTCATGGCTCCAGCAAGTTGCTGGGGATGGCCTCCTGGTCCAGGAGCTGATGGGGAGTAGGAACTTCTAGCTGTTCCTTCCTTGGTTTGGAGATGGAGCTATAACCGAGCTCTCCTCCTTCCCAGGGGTCCACAGTATCCTGAGCAAGTCACTGCTACACAAAAAACAACCAGGAACTTAGCACCTAAAACCCATTCTAGCTCATGGCTTTTGGGGAATTTTCTCTGCACAGTACCTCCTACAGTGATATACACAAAGACAGATAGGTAGTGCATTGGGGGAGGACAGTGGGAGGGATGCTGGTGATGAGAGGTGACAGTGATTTAAGATGCCCTACCTCCCCTCAGAGGTGTATGGGAATCTCTGAGCACACCCCTCCCAAAGGCATCTATTCAATATTTTGCCCATCAATCTTAACAGGGTAATTTCTCCCCAAGCCCAAGCAAGAGAGGATTAGGAGAGATCCTTTGACATCTTGTAGTGAGAGGAACCATAAAGTATGACTTAAGTGATCAGGAGACAAGTGTGAATATTCCTATTCATAGTATTTGTGACACTTCCGCCTCTTTTTTTCACTGTTTCTCCACAGTACAATTCAAACGTGCAAAATTTATTTCCTGTTCCCATTTCCTTGTTTTCCTTCAACCTTGGATCCTTGTCCACCTCTCTCCACCACACTCCCTTTTTATTTATTTATTTATTTATTTTTTGAGACAGAGTCTCGCTTTGTTGCCCAGGCTAGAGTAAGTGCCATGGTGTCAGCCTAGCTCACAGCAACCTCAAACTCCTGGGCTCAAGCAATCCTTCTGCCTCAGCCTCCCGAGTAGCTGGGACTACAGCCATGCACCACCATGCCTAGCTAATTTTATTTTTTCTCTATATATTAGCCGGCCAATTAATTTCTTTCTATTTATAGTAGAGACCGGGTCTCGTTCTTGCTCAGGCTGGTTTCGAACTCCTGACCTCGAGCATTCCGCCCTCCTCAGCCTCCCAGAGTGCTAGGATTACAGGCATGAGCCACCGCGCCCTGCCTCACCAAATATCTTAAATAAAGGAGTGTAGGAACAAATGGCAGGAAACTCTTATTTCATCTAAGTGTTAAATGGTTTGCAGGATACACCTTATAGAAAATGCTCTTCTGCAAACATAAAGCCAGATCTAGGGGAAGGTGAGGATGAAAGAGAGTCCAGCCAAAATCAGAGCTGTCTGGACTGATGGATGGTTAGTAGGCTCATGTATGCTCATAAACAGCTGCCCACATCCCT